ATTTACAGCGCTGGATACTTAGTTTTTCAATGAACGGCATTGCTCCCTTCTGCACCTCTATACATCTAAGCTCATTAAATTTATCAATGCCTAAATGTTTGAGCTTCTTATATCCACCAGCTCCAAAACACAATGTGTCTCCTTCAAACACCTGAGATAATTCGAGATGTACTAGGTTGGGCAGATGCTGAATGAATACAAGCGGATTGTCCTTTAACCTACTCCATTTCAGATATAACCTGACAAGGCTGTGCAGCGAAGGTATCCAGTGAGGCAATGTCTCCAATCGTCCTCGCAAGTATAGGCGCTGAAGCAGTAGAGGAGGAGAAGAAATGTGCTGCAGATCAATGATCTCATCCTCTTCTACCGAAGTTATGGACAACGCGCAAAGTTTGGTCAGCTTTTCAATGGATAAACAGAGAGTTTTTCCGTCTTGTTTCCTCAAATGTACAATTCCTAACCGTCTTAGCTGAATTAGTTTCCCTAGCTCCCTCAATATGGCACCTCCATCTTGGTTTGCCTCGATGAAACAAAGCTTTTGAAGGCAAGTTAAAGCCCCTATTTTTGCAAGCACCTTAAAGCCATATTTGGAGTGGCCATATTTTGAGTGAAAATCTCCGTAAGGTACAAATTCATAACGATATACTAAAAGATGACGCAGATGTTGAAGCTTTAGAATTTCAACTGGGAGCTCAGTGACCAGAGAATGCTTCAGATCCAAAGTCTCCAAGTTCTGAAGCTTCCCTATAAATTTTGGAATGATTTTCACCCTGGTACCTTTCAAGCTTAGATACTTCAAGAAGAAAAGGTTGACAGCTTCAACTGGAAAAACATTGAGAGGTGCGCTTTGCAAATCCAACACACTAAGAAGCCTAAAACCTCCAGGAAAAATTGTGTGCAGTAGTGGCTTCTCAGTAACTCCGAACATAAACAGAGAACGTAGTTGAGAAGTGGACCTGTTTTTCTGTATGTATTGCAAAGAGGTATGCATTGACAGGCGTCGGACTTTATCAGGCCATGGTATGTTTTTCTCTTTAGCTATTGTGGCAAAGTTTTGATCTCTTATCTTGGAGGTGATAATCTCACGGAGAAGATCATGGACACGAAAGCTTTTAACCCTTCCATCGGTTGTTGTCTCTGCTACTTGAATCATGCTTCTATTCAACAGTTCATTCAGGTAGTCCTCTGCAACATCTTCTAGCGTTTTGCCTTGTTTTGCTTCGATAAAACCCTCTGCCATCCATAACCGAACAAGTCTCATATGCTCGATTAGATGATCCTCGGGAAAGATGCTCAGGTACAAGAAGCAAGACTTGAGATAGTAAGGTAAGTCATTAAAGCTGAGTGAAAGTACTTTTTTCAAGTCCTTGAGTTTGTCATTGCCCTCCATTTCAGCACCAAGGCTATGGCCAACCATATCCCACTCGTCAATCCTGCGCTTGTCTTTGGTAGCCAAAACACCGCTGACTGCCACAATGGCAAGGGGCAGCCCCTCACACTTTCTTAAGATAGATTTACCGATTTCCTCTAAATAAGGAGGGCATGAATTCCCTTGGAATGTCTTCTTGCATAAAAGCTCCCACGACTCCAACTGCGGCAAGGGCTTCAAATTAAAGACTTTACCTCCAGATTCTTTGCTGGTTGTCGAGGCTACATCAGCTTTTCGAGTAGTTAGTATGACTCGACTGCCACAAGTATTGTTAGGCAAGGCATACTTCAGAGAGGCCCATCCGTACATGTCCCACACATCGTCGAGAACAATTAGGTACCTCCTTTTCTGCAGGAAGGCCTTGATTATTGTTTTCAATTGATTGTTGTTCATATTGTTTGTTCCTTGTGGAACTGGCCTTCGGATGGCTTTGTGGAGTTGTTGAATCATGTCTTCGAGGAGTTCCCCGAGTTTGAAAGACTGAGTAACCGTGATCCAAGCGCTTACTTTGAAATGCTTCTTCACTTCTGCTGCATCATAGACTTGCTTCGCCAAGGTTGTCTTCCCTAGTCCTCCCATTCCGGCCACAGAAATTACTTCTCGTCCGGAACCACCGATGACAAGCCACCCTACCATCTGCTTTATAGGCTCGTCAATGCCAACTATATCAGTTTTCTCTAATAGTAGAGCATCACCACGATGGTCCTCCCACATTTGACGTGCAGTTGAAGAGCCTGAACCTTGTTCAGCCATATTAAACTTGCGACGTAGTCTCCTATGAACCTCCGAGATTTTTCTGATTCTCGAGTTGATGCCTTGTAACTCAGCAGCAATTCGGTATTGAGATTTCATGTTCTTAATACAACACGAAAACTTATGGATGGAACTGTATAACCCCTTCCCATGATCATGTGCCTGGAGAAGTGTAAATTCGTCCAGAACATCTTCGCTATCATGAGCAATGTCTCTTACTTGCTTCACCCATACTTTGACTTCCTCATCACTCTCTTCAAAAGCATCAGCAACCCTCAGAAACGCAGTCATGCGCTCCAGTTCCCCTCTCAGATACACGATTTCTTTCCTAACCCCTCCCAAAAGTTGCAGATCATTTTCGAAAAATGGTGCAACCTTGTCGAGCAGAAACTTTACTGCACTCTCTGCCATTAACTCTCTCTTTACTGTTTCAATTACCCTTTTTATCCTCTCCTTTCCAAATTGTATGGAGTTATATAAGCGAGGGGCAACATATACATATTCAAAAAAATTGCAGATGCCTTTTAGTGCAAGTAACAGCGACTGGATTTTGAATTGTTTGTGACAAAGCATTCGGAGTTTAGTAATTTTTCTTTGTACTATTTTATTTGTCCATGAAATTTCCTAGAAAATGACTCAAATTTAAAAAATTCAATTATTGCCTTGTGAGAAATGCTAAGGAAACTCTAGTGGAACTCTTCATGGAGTTCTTGACTTGTTATCCACAAGAACCAAGATCATTTTTCCGACTAAATGGTTAGGAAGTTGCTATTCACACCCATTTTTACCTCTCACACATCCTTTTTAATTTTTTGCCACTGATCTTCTTCAATTCATTCAATTTGCCAGTCGAAAATTGAGAGACATATGTGACAAATAAAAATGGGTATGTGGCTAGCACTATCCAATACTTAGCAAGCTGCGTGCAATTGCATTGCAAGAAAACGATAGCATGACTACATTTTTTCCGACACGAGATAAAACTGAACTGAACCTTCTAAGCAAAGAAAAATAAGGGGTGTGATATTCACACACCCCATTTTACTTCTCACACATCTTTTTAATTTTCGGTCGTCGGATAGGATGAATTGAAGAAGATCAATGGACATAAATTATCAAAAGGTGCGCGAGAAGTAAAATGGGATGTGTGGATAGCACATCCCAAAAATAATATATTTGGTCGATCTAATTTACATAGATGAAAATATATGTGTGAAGGGGACTCACAATAAACGAAGGAGCGAAACGAGCTAATGGACTGAATATCCATTCGAACAAGTAATTAGCTGCTGCTGTGGTTGCTTCTGCAGGCAGCCAAGCTCAGTAACTACCGGATAATTTCATTTGATTGTGAATATACTTTGAGATTCGAAAGTCAAAGCAAAAGCTGCTTTCCCAGAAAGCCTCAGAAAGCAAAAGCTGCCTTCATTTGAAATTGCTTAGTAAAAGTGTTAAGTAACTTCTAACTCTTTTAAGTCTATGACAAAATTTAAAATATTCTCAAGCTTTGGTAACAGAATTGAACACAGCGACTGGATTTTAAATTGTTTGTGACAAAGCAATCAGATTGTAGTAATTTATTTGTCCATGAAATTCCCTAGAAAATGACTCAAATTTCAAAAATCCAATTATTGACTAGCAAGAAATGCAAAGGAAACTCTCAGAGTGGGACTCTCCATGGAAGTTTCTATCACCTCACAGTTTAACGTCAATTTCTGTGCCAACATTATAAAACATTGTGCCTAAACATGAGGCGACAAAGAATACATAGAGAGTTCCACTTTTGATAGAATCTTCTTAGCATTCCTCTCAACTTGTTATCCACACGAACCAAGATCATTTTTCCAACAAAATGGTTAGGAAGTTACTATTCACATCCATTTTTACCTCCCACACATCCATTGTTAATTTTTTTTTTCCCACTATCTTCTTCAATTCATCCAATCTGACAGTTGAAAATTAAGAGAGATGTGTGAGAAGAAATTGATGTGGCTAGCATATCCAATACTTAACATGTTGCGTGCAATTGCATTGCAAGTAAGCGATAGCGTAACTACAGTTTTTCCCGCACCAGATAAAACTGAACCGAACCTTCTAAACAAAGAAAAATAATATGGTTGGTCGATTTAATTTACATAGATGAAAATATACTGTGTGAAAGTGACTCACACAATAAACAAAGGAGCGAAACGAGCTAGTGGAGTGAATATCCATCCGAACAAGTAATTAGCTGCTGCTGTGGTTGCTTCTGCAAGCAGCCAATCTCAACTACCGGATAATTTCATTTGATTGTGAATATACTTTGAGATTCGAAAGTCAAAGCAAAAGCTGCTTTCCCAGAAAGCCTCAGAAAGCAAAAGCTGCCTTCATTTGAAATTGCTTAGTAAAAGTGTTAAGTTAACTTCCTAACTCTTTAAGTGTATGACAAAATTTAAAATATTCTCAAGCTTTGGTAGATTTTTATACAATACATATTGACCGTGTAACTTTTATTCTACCGGCAGTAAGTAATTTTCAACCGCCAGCGCCAAGTTACCAAGATTAAAAGGAAAAACGAAGAACAGATTTACGATCTCAATGAAGAAACTTAGTTGCTGCTACAATTAAAAGTTATAACGTTTAACTGCTCTAGTAATGCTCTTAAAAATGAAAAACTGTTGTTAGACTAAATAAAAAATTTAATTCCATTGTAACTTACTCACCTGAGGACTGTATAAATCCTTGGATCTCTTCTCCAACATCGACACAGCTAATCTAGTTAACCTTTTTCTGATACTGATATAGCAAATACGTGAGTGCCAAGTTTTTTCCGACAACGATGTCTAGAGAAGTTCAGGCAATGTTTTCGCTACTGCTAATTATGGCAACATGCGCTGCAACCGGATTTGCGCACGTGCCACCCCCACCGCTACTCCCGAACTTTCCCAATATCCCAGGTCTACTGCCACCTGGGATCCCAAGCTTATTGCCGCCAGGGATCCCAGGCCTGCTGCCACCTGGAATCCCAGGCCTGTTGCCGCCAGGGATCCCAGGCCTACGACCGCCAGTGGACCCGGCTGAGATAGCAAAGTGTTGGTCTTCACTTCGGGGTATTCCAGGGTGTGCACAGGAAATTATTACCACAATCTTTACCGGTAAATTTGCGCTAGGCCCTGCTTGTTGCAAGGCCATCGTCGAAGTTGATGAGAAATGCTTGCCGAAATTGTTCCCGTTGTTTCCTTCTGTTTCCGCATTGCTTAAGAACAACTGTGTTCAACACAATGTTGCTCCTCCTAATGCATTTGGTTCAAAGCACTAGTAGGTAGTTGATCTTGTTTTCAGTTATTCACAGACATGCAGGTTTTGGGTTTCCCTTTTTACCTTGGGTGCCATTTTTCTTATCTTTTGGAGACTTAGATCTCACTAAAATAAGAGAATAACAGCTTAGTCTCATTGAAACTCTCTCCCTCTCTCTCTGATAAATTGTTGGATCTTCTTTTGATCTATCGATCCGACGATCCATGAGTCCGGATCCTAATGCATAAAGATACAAACCGTTCAACGGGAGCAAGAATTTACAAGAACATTTAGAACATTTTCGTTCGCATTTCAAATTCCAGCTGATAATTTAACGAATCATGAATCACAATTTGTATCATAGGAAAGCTGGAAAGTGCAAAGAGAAGAATTTTACATAACACTAGAAATTGAATTACAACACTGTCCATCCAGGATGAACAAGAGGAAGCGAAAATAAGAGACGCACAATGAATGCAGAAAAAAAGTATAAACATCAGTTTTCTGCTTGAAAATCGTAAGATTTATTTGTAAATACAAGCTGATGACTAAGAATAATTCACAAGTAAATGAAGATACACGTATATTAATTTTTGGAAAAAACCACTTGTGTAATTGCTGTTCCGTTTGACAGCAAAGACAATGCTCGTTGATCAGTTCACGTACCTGGTGAGTAGAAAATGTTTTTCAGGTCCATTGCTGAGTTAGAAATCCAAATTCCGCATCTGAAAGACACAGCCAGAGCAAAGCAGGACCGTGAAGAAAGCATGTGGGATACTGTGGGGCTTGGATTTAAGGAAGCGTAAAATAGTGCAGGCAAAACTTGCAGGAGTCGAGAAGGTGGTAATCGGCTAATTAAGAATCTGACAGGAAAATGTGGTTTCACACTCTTCCACTTGGAAAATTACAAGCCATAAGGAAACCTGAAGGGAATAAAGGTGAAAATGAGAGACCAAAAAAACACAAAAACTTGTCAAGATATATTCAGAAAATGCATCCATCAAATACTTGAAGTCCCAGATTCTATGTAACAAGAACATGCAAGGGAACAACGAACCTACAAACTCAGAGCTATCAAGACCAAAATGATAAGTATAATAGTGCATAGATAGAGAAACCTGGATTTATTAATTTTGCATTATTTTGCGTCATTTTTAAATACTGGTTAATACAAACAAATATGCATGTGCACATAAGCGCATAAGATCAACCCACGCAAACGGGTAAAAAAACAAAACAATCAGAATCCAAGTGGCAGGTTTCAGTGAGACATGGAAAGCAGGAGAAACAAATTTTTAAAAGTAAAAAATAAAAATAAAAACAATATGAAAAGGCAGTTGCAGAATGTAAAATTGCTTACAAGACGAGACCATTTAGAGAATGAAGGACTTCCAACTAATAAAGGCCCAACATTCTTAGCTCTGTCACATGGCTCGGGTCTAGCTCAGGGGCGTTCTTATTATCTTCTCGGTCTTCTACAACATATTCCTGGCATCACAAAATGGACAAAGGTACCAGTTAACTCTCAGTTGGAATAATTACTGTAATTCTCTGCCCACATATTATGTCTATGAAACATCACGGTGTGTGTAGAGCATAATCCATGATATAACTTAGTTAGATACAACTGAACATAAGAACTCATAACTTGGAATATAAATTTTAGTCCTCGATGCCAGTAAGATTCAGTATGTATAGTTTGAGTTCCATAGTAAGTTCAAAGTATCAAGAACTAGACCTTTGTTAATTCTTGTTTGGCAAGTACATGGTAATGCCGTTCATTGATTCTCTGTCCACATATTATGGCTATGAAGAAGCCATAAAGCAAACCCACCAAAACAATAGCTAAAACTGCAACAAAATAATACATGCAATTAGATTGCAGTTAGTGTAATCAGCATGTCTTACACAAAGAACATAGATATAATATAGGGAGTTCAAAGGGCAGTGAGAAGTTAGCATACCAGCCATAGTATAAAACCCATACGGGTGCTCCTCATAACCAAACATCTCTCTTAGTTCGTCTCCATAAAATTTGTATACCAGCACTCCCAAGAATGCCACAATCTGATGAAAAAGAAAATATTCACAAAATTTCAGGAATGACAAACTGACGGGGAAGTCTTACCTCTTCTTCTTCTTCCATAAGAGTTTGTCACTTGTTTGAAGTAACTGAACACTAACAGTAATGTTTAGAGTTACCAATAGTACGAACATTTAAATTTCAAATACCATTAGGATCAGTTCTCACAGTACCCTTCTGTTACGAAACATAACAGAACCTTGCCAACGTGTGCTACAACTGACTATTGCTAACCTATCAAACAGTACTTTCTGTTTCTAGTTAATTCTTCTATGGCTCGTGCAAAGTTGAATAAAATTTAAGGGAAAATGCCTCAGTTCTTTTATTTGGGGAGAAATACCTATTTGGTAAAATGATATGAATCACATTAGTTTTTGTAAACCTACCAGTTGCACGATGATGAAAATGAATGCATGATCTCTAGCAACAAGGAACTGAAATTTCAATCTCAACCACCAGCGATCGGGAGGGACATTTGCTCGTAATATGAACACTGCCCTGCATTCTGTACAATGAGCAAAAGCAAAGCCCTCCTGAAGAAATAAATATATGAATAATTAATACCAAGCCTCTACAAAAGGAACATAGTCTTTAAAGAAATAAATAAAAAATGCTTTATTTCACCACTTGTGCCAAATTAGACAAACATCACAAGAATTTCAACACCATTATGTGCATTTGCATTATTCTAAAATGAATATATAGAAAAGCATCTGCAGATCACGAGGAAAGAGCAGGGATGAAGAAAATGTTCACCTTTGTTGACCTCCAGTTATCAAGACATGATCTATGGACATACTTCTGAGTACCTCTGCAATGGCATGGAGCAATTAAGTCTTCCCCTGAGAGACAAATAAACAACTGCTAAGATATTTGAATTTCCTAGCCACCAAATAATGATTGAAAAGGTACATAACTATGATTACTTTCACCAGCAAGTTACTCGTGTATCCTCTACATCATTTGAACCTTTTCACGAAAAACTAATGGTGACAGTAAACTGAAGATACACAAAGAAATGCCAGGAACTATAGAAGAACCTTCTTCAGCATCAAGGCAAATACGGCACTGTGGTTGCTCTGCGCTCACCAACTTAGAATTTTCATTGACGTCAAGAATTTGTGACTCTTCATCAGTAGCAGGAAAATCACCTAGCACATCTGTAATTTCACATGAGGATGAAGATTCTGTGGGTCTCTGTGAAATGTCAGACTGACATAAGATGGGTTCACATTCTGTAATATCTTCCTTATGACTATCATTTGATACTAATTGCATTGCGAAGAATGTCGAGTCAGGAGTCCAAAGAAAAAGTCATTGCCAGTGCTACAGCTCCTACAGATCATTTCAAACGGAACTAAGAAAGAACCTATTAGAACAAATAGACGAAAAGTACACTGGTTAGGAACCTGCATTACATGTCAAGTTGTTGTTACTAGTTCTATGGAAATTAAAATCTTGTTCCAGTACTAAAAATAATAATTTGACATGCCAAACTGCTCTAAGAACTTTCCATAAAACATCCATATGCACAAGTATGAAATATATAGTGCTTAAAGTACCAAGATCTATGCAACAAGATCGGCAGAAATTTCGAGGATTCAAAAAAGCAAAATGCTAATCATGGATATACCATATACCAATTAAGATTCAAGAAACAATAGGAGCATAACAAACGATTATTACTGATTTCGTTGATAGGTACTACAATTCCAAGCTCTTGCAACCAGCCTAACATATAACATGGCCTAATTACTTGACTTATGAAAATAAAAAAAACTATCCCACTGTTTTAATTTATAGGAAAAAAAAAAGGAAAAAAAAAAGCCCTTGAATTTTCTTAAATGAATAACCCATCAAGATAAGTATATATACTTAGCATAAAATTCCAACTTAATTACTCTGTATAGCATCAACTTCAGCTCCAGCTTTCAATTTCCCTATAAATAACTTGGCGTCCATACAAAAGAAGGTTTATTTCTTCCCAGAAAATTAAATAAACAAATAAAAATCAAGCATGCAATTAATAAATTTAATACATGATATATAATCATAATATATAATCATAACCCTGAAAATGTGATTAAAGAATACAAATTTCTCATCAAAAGGAACGCGGTTCAATCAACAAATTAACAAATTTCGAGCAAAGATTGAATTTTTATGAGATCAAATAAGGGGGCTGACCTGAAATTTAGCAGTACGGGAGATCGCCATCGGACTGAAACAATGCAGGCATCGGTTGGATGGGGAATTTGAGAATCGAATTCTAGGGTTCTTACGAATTGAAGTGAAACGGTGGACTTTGAAGGGTGCAAGGATGATTAAAAAAATTTGGGATTTTTTTTTTAAATTTAATTTTAAAATTGTTTTCGTTGAAAAGTAAGCAGGCAGGGTAGGTGGTGGGTGTAATTAGAAATTGACCAATCATGGAAATGATGAACAATCATAATAAATAAATATTTAAGACATTAGAAAAAACAAGATCATAAGCAAACAAAAAATGATTTTAGATGCATAAAATAATCAAGCCAAGAAATGAAATTGCGTTTTGGTCAAACTCTTCTCATAGATTAAACTAGAAGACAGCACACACTTCGTATGTGAGCAATTTTTTTTAATAAGTGTATATTTTTTTTAATATTACATAATTACTGTTTTATCTTTTTTATGTAAATATTGTATATTAAAAGTGAGAGTAAAATTGAAAAAATAAATATCTGATTGTCATTTTATCAATAATGTGCATCAAAAGTGAGAGCAAAATAGAAAAAAAAAATTGGCAATGAGAATTCTCTTAATAGTATAGATGTATAAATAATATTAGTGTAAATTATCTAACGTAGATCATCCTTTATATATAGACCGACCATTTCTAATATAGATCATTAATTCTATCGTTCTTTTTCTCATAAAGTCACGTTTCGAGTTCAAAATCTTCCCACTTCATATATGGGCCGGCCTTTTCTAACGTACTTTTCCCTTTTTATTTCTTTTTCTGATTTGATTTTGCAGCATAGAGTAATCAGTATAAGGTTGAAGTTGAAGATTCGGTGAAGGACATATGCCTGGAAAACCAAACCACATGATGCCGGCCAGCCAAACCATATGAATCTACACAAACTATTAGCTCCAAACTAGCTATATATCGCATTTTGTTAATTCTAAGATCCACAGTCTAGCTCATCCAACATGGATGACGAAGACGATAGATATTTATAACGCCATAGCTTCATTGTAGTATTGTGGGTTGATTGTAAATATTATATCGTTTGTCAAAAAAAAAAAAAAAACATTATGAAGTTTTGTTTAAAAGGTCCTTAGAAAGCGTATAAGGTCGTCTCCAACCGAAGGATGGCAAGAGGACTCGTTTTAGCCCTCTAGCCCTCCAATAAATTAATATTTTAATGAACAATACAGGGCCACATTTGACTCTGTCTCCAACTGAGGGACAAAGGACCATAGGGCTCTTTTTAGCCCTATCACAAAAAATCGTCTCCAACCGAGAGTCATAGGACCAAACATAATTTATTATTTAAAAACTACAACTTAAATTCAAATCCAATGGTTCAGTGACGTCAACTAGCCGTTGGTAGCTAACATCATGCTAGCGTCAGCTAGCCGTTGGATTTTAATTTTTCTTTTGCTATAAATAGGGTGGATATTGGGTTATAATTCACACAACTTTGAATTCAATCTATTTCAATTCAATCTCTTTCAATTCAATCTTTTTCAATTCAAGTTTGCAATGAATTCCAACTTTGGATCCTCTTCAGATTCCAACTGGGGGTCCTCATCCAATTCCAAATTGGAAGCAAAATGGGTGCAAATGTTTTTAAATGTTGTTAAATGTTTTTAAGTTTTATGTTGTTAAATATTTTTTTTATGTTGTATAATTTGTATGTTGGTTAATGTTATTTAATATTATTTCATATTGTTTAATGTTGTTTCATATTACTTAATTTAATTTAATGTTGTATAATGGCTTAGGAAGTTATACGAAAAAAATAGAATTTAAAAAATAAACAATTTGAATAGAGTTAGGAAAATAGATTAAATAACAATTTTGTCAAATATAAGTTATAGGAAATATTTTGTAAATAAAAAATAATAATAAAACTGTAAAAATAAATAAATAAATCAAATGCAACGGCTAGCTGACGTCAGCTAGCCGTTGCATTTGAATTTTAGCTTAAGGATTCCTGTTGGTTATAACCAACAGAAATAATGATTTTTCTGGCCAGCCCCAGGTTGGCTGGCTGGCTGGCTGCAGCCAGCCTTCAGCCCTCCAGCCCTTTTAGATTCCTTAGGACCCTCTCAGATTCCACAAGTCCTCTGGCCTAGCCCTCAGTTGGAGAGAGTTTTCGCGCTATTTTCGGCCTTCTGGCCCTCTGGACCCTTCGGTTGGAGATGGCCTAAGGGTTTAGCAAAGTTGGCTAACCATTTGCACCTCCCACTATGCATAGTAATGATGAATTTAGTGTAATTATTTTATTATTTGTGAAAACAAAGAGTACTTAAAAAGGCAGGTGTTATCAGAAAATTAATTGAATCAAATAATTAACCAAATTAACCAAACCATGAAGTAATTCAAATTTTTAATGATAAAGCAAACATTTACAGTGACAAGAATCTCTCCGATATTCTATCAGAAAATTGGGAAAATCTGATTGTGCAAAGAATATTAATTGTTACAAAATAACAAAAATACTCATTCACTTTTGCTGCATGCAGGTCTTCAAGTAGTTGAGGGGCAAAAATAAAACCCATCTGATGAGAGATCAATCTTAACGGTCAGTTGGCAGAAAGGATGTTAGAAGTAATCACTTGCAGCTGCAAATCTCTGGTAAATCCAAATCCCTGGGGGTAAAAGGAAAACCGGTAATGCAAGCAAGCATATCTTTTACAAATTGACTGCTCCTGATTTTCTCTTTGTTTTTTGCATTTCTGTTTTGTCTTTGTAATGAGAAAAAATCTACTGAGACTTAGCACCACAGTTGCAGCATCTTTCTATGAACCACTCTAACCTGTATTCAGAAGGAAATAGATAGCATTATTAGTCAAATTAACTGATAATTTGAAAGAAAAAGCTACGTGGTTAACTTTTCGGAATAGTTGCAAGAGGCTTGTAACTCAGTGTTTAAAAGCAATTACCCTTGTACTCACGTGAGGCTCTATGTTCGAATCCCCTTCCCTAATCGCTAGCATTTATAGCAATACAAAGCTATGTGAAACAGTTGAAGGTGTTGACTTTCCTAACTACCAGTCAACTCACAGGTAGGTTAATTTCCTTCTGTGGGTCTTCGAACTTTTCTTAATTAACAATCCACAATTTTTCACTATTGACTGTGTGTTGTGGTGGATTTTTACCATGTGTGTTTCTACGTTTGCTCAGCTTTGACTGGTTGGCTCGTTTTAATAAAATCTAGTAGAGAGGGGACGGACGGGAGATTTCTGAGTGCAACGGTCCTTTCTCCTTCAGGAGAGGGTTGGTGCCTCGCACACGACTGTTGACGAATAGCTAATCTCGTCTAATCCATCTCTACAATTTAATAAAAAATAAAAAAAATAAAAAAAATAAAGCTTTGACTGGTTGGTCTAGGCTTTTGGATGATTTGGATCAAAGAAAGTAAATCAGTGTGGATTTGCCATGATTCTTAAATATAAAAGGGAGGAAAAAAGTAAAAACCTACCAGTCAAAATCCCCTATCAAGATCATCTGCATACAGTTGCCTGAATTTGACATTTCCATGATTCTTAAATAAGGAAATACAAATCATTTCCCATTTAAATGTTAAAAAAATCAATATTTAAAAAGTAATAATTCTTTTTTGTTTGCTGTAATTGATCATTGACTGCAAAACTACACGGATTGAAAACTCAAAAATTCTAATGCATAAATACATGTTTTTATCAACTAATTGATCTGTTATTTCATCCACTATGGTAAGCAAAAATTTGATTAACTAATTAATCTATTATTTCCCCTAAATGCTAATGCTGTCTAAGTTTGTAATGAGATAGAAGGGACTTACAAGTCTTTAAGGCATGAGCTCTTGGAATCCGAATCCTCTGGCGGTCTCCGATAATCCAACGAGAATACCGATGGCCCTGCTGGACTACTAGAGAGCTTCTGATCACGAGGCAGAAGAGGGAGGTTCTCAGCTGACGTGTGGCTCGAGGGAGCCGGAGAGAAAGGCGGCGAGGGGGAAGGAGACGGTGAGAATATGTACTTTTGGTTGCCAGGCCCTACACTGATTGGAAGTGGAGAGGGAGGTGTGGGAGGAGATGATGTCGGAGACGGGTCGGCTTTTTTCTCACCATCGTCCTCCATTGAAATATTTCCCCTACATGCAAATTAATGTTCTCTCTCCCTCTCTCTTCTTGGCCTTGGAAGTATGTAATTAGGACAATGTGTCCCTCCGAGACAAAGTCATGACCTTCCCGGGAGTTTTTTTGTTTGAATCTTAGGTATAACCTAACGGTCATGGGCATGCTCTTCAGCCGCTCATTCTTTGTTGCATGCGCATATTTACATGCCATTTTGGTAAGCACGTTTACTTTTCCTTCTAGGTCTGTACTTTTTCTTTTGGGCCTTGACCAATTGTGTATTGCTCATGTTTACATAGTAGAAATGAGAAGCACAAAGACTCAAGAAACTTAAGAGGACAAGTAAGGAAAGTGAATCGGACCAACTAGTCTCCAACAACTTATATGATCATGATTTTCAAGTATTAAATTACGAACTCACACTTTTCTTAATAATTTCATATGTGTTTATAGCTAGAAAGTTTGACATAAAAAATAAACACATGCAAAGTTAGGAATCGGGGCATGTTTACTCATCATGAGAATGAAGATATAAAGGGATGAACATATTCCCGACACTCAAAATCAATTTTGATCCTTTTTTTTTTTTTTTGGTACACATGAATTGAAATCATACACATTTCTCTTAATCCTTAGTTGTAAATAAACACATGAATGAAACTGATACATATTCCTTGTAAGCTAATTCTTATAAGTAAACATACCTTAAAAAGTTTTTTACACTCATACTTTAGTAAACGTGGAAGTCTGACGATGATGAAAATGATTTTGTTCTTATTCTCTATAATTAAAAGTGTACCATAGTTTAGTTGGACACCAATCCTGTTTTCTATAGGTTTTGTACCAAGGTCCTAGACCCTAGTGAGTAAGTACAGGTTGCTTTGCAGGTTGAACATAAGCTGTGACCTACCAAGTTAAGTTGACCAGAAATTTCAACTAACAGAGAATTGAGAACGAGATGGATTCAATTTTAATGTTAATGAAATTTCTGATCCCCGAGTCTTGTCACAAAATGTGATTTTATACGAAAGGTTCATATATTATTAACTTTGATTTTAACCAAAAGGCAGAGAAACAAAAATTTTAAAATGAGACTTTCTACGAAATTTCTATCACCTTAGAGCATCCCCAGAGTGGGGTTTTGCTCGGGAGAAGGGGTCCAAAACAATGGCCCAGGGCCGTGGGCTGTCCTCCAGGCTGGGGGGCCGATGGGAAGGGGAGGCCCGGTCACGGGCCCGTGAGGGATTGCCAGGCCTTGAGCCCGAGGTAGGGGTGACGTAAGGCTGACGCCAGGGTGGCGTCAGCGCATTATTTAAATTTTTTTGTGTCAGGCGCGTGCACCCCACCCGCGCGTGGGGGCGCGTCGCTGACACAAAAATCAGAAAAAAAAAAAAAAAAAAAAAAAGTGTCAGTTACCGTTGGGAAGCCATGTGGCTTCCCACGGTGCGTTAGATCTTAACGGTCACTTAATGTGGACCATTAGATCTCAACGGTAAAAAAAAAATTAAGTCAGATTTAATATCCACCGTTCGATCTGAGATCAACGGTGGATATTAAAATGCTTTATAAATTAAAAAATAAATGAAAAAATAGTTTTAAAAATCTGAAAAGTTACCGTTGTGACACGTGGCACAATCTGGAGTGTTGGAATTCAAATTTTTTTATATCCAACGACAGAGATTAATTAATTGAATAAAATTTTTAAAAAAATTGTAAAAAATTCAAAAAAATATCTGAAAAATCTGAAAAAAATTGTAAAAAAAATTGTTTTTACTTTTCTATAAATACCTTGTCATTATCATCTACCTTACACAACAATTTCATATTTTCTCAACTTCTTTCAATCACATTCCTTTCTTTGTCTCAAAGTTTGAATCCATTTTTTTTCAACAAAATGACAATTGGTGCAGGTACGAATTGGTCGCTTATTGAAGATGTTGCGCTGTGTACTAGCTGGGTTGAAGTTACTCATAGTTCGCTTACGGGATTGTGAACAGATTATTACACGTGGCATGCCGTCATTCGTTAAAAATCTGATGGAAATCTATCCTCAAAGATTGTGAACCGATTATGACACATGGCGCGACGTGATTGGTTAATAATCTTATCAGAAATCCATCACCAATAATTGTATTATTTTGTATTATTTAATAATATTTCGGATAATGACACGTGGCGCAACGAGAACGATTAAAAATCTTATCCGATATTACAATTAAAATTATTTTGTATTATTTTATAAATAAACAAAATACTAATATTTTATTGCCTATTGCCAGGGCTATTGAAGTGTAACGGTGGAGATGCAAATTCTATTGCCAGGGTTACTTACTATTCATTAAGGGCAGTTACTCTTCATTAGGTGGATTGAATAGTGTATTGCTAGGGGGGAGGGCTCCAACGCTGGAGTTGCTCTTACAGTTTAACGTCATAATTTCTTTTTTTTTATCTTATTTTTAGTCGTTGAGTGAATTAGTTAAACCAAAACGACCATCAAGATTAAACAACAAGAAGTGTTGTAATTACGATTATCCTACTACATTAGAAAATAGTTTGTCACAACCTTTTGTGGTGGCCACATTGTTCTTTACACGTGCATAGTTGCCAATGTTCATGTTGATTTTATAAGATAGTTGCCAAGATTGTCACACTTTTCCTTATTGAATCTGAAAGACCGATTGGGTTCATGTATAGTCACACTACTTTCATTTCTATAGCTTGATAATTGTTTCATTTCGTTAGCGTGTTTATAAATGTATATATGGTATATATTGTACAACATTGTATTTTTACATGTTCTTACAGTACTTGGATGTCTTTTTTTTTTTCTGTAAAAAGGAAAAATACTTGGATGTCTTTCTTTTTCAAAATTTTAAATTGAAATGTTGGAGGAAACTAAAATCTGATTAGGAGAACTTTTGTACTCAAATAAAAGAAACAAACAAAAAAAAATTTTGTAGATTTTCTTTATGATTCATCTTTATTATTTTTTTCTTTTGAATTCTCTCTGTTTTGTTATGCTTATTTTTTCTAATTTTTAAAAAGACTTCCTACAAGTAAAATTATAAAAAGTAACATTTTTCGATAATTGATCCAAACAAGGGCCAAAACCCCTGACAGCCGAATAAAACTCGATGACAATTGTAAAAAAGAACATAATTTTTACAAATTATATACATACTCAAGCCAAACAAAATTCAAGTAATTAGAAAGCAAAAATTGAAGAGCTAGAAAGCAAAAATTGAAGAGCAATACCTCCGAAGTGGACAAGACAATGGTGAAGGCTTTAGATTTGATGAATGTTAGCAGTGGCGATGGTTTTAGTTATGGGTGGAGGCGGAGTGAACACATTTTTTGGACTGACGACAGTGTTTGGATTTGGGGTTGCAATTGGAGGTAGAGGTGGAGGCAAAGGGACCATGGTTGACTGATTGCCGACTATGGTGGTTGTTGTAGTTGGAAGTAGAAATGGAGGTGAAATGTGGTGGCAGTGGGTGAACTGAGAACCGTTGCATATGCTGGTATGGAGCTACTATAAGTTGGGTGAACCATGTTATTTGATCAGTTTTTATCTCGTCCAGTGTATTCGTTTATGTACACAAAATTAAGCAGCAAATGGTTTCTTACTTAACTAACTCACATTGGACCTATTTGGCTAATTATGTTAAATTCAACAAAGTCACACTAGGTGACACATGTGCACTTCCCACCTCTTTCTTGCTTAAGGCCGACCTGGAAAATTTATGTTTGGGATGTTTGGCAATTTTAGTATCCTGAATGATGTCAAGTGTTATTCCTAGCATGTTGCAATTTTGTTCAAAGCTCACTTGGTATACTACAGAGAGCTAGTAGGGATACTGACCGAAATATAACTCGATGAGGGACAACTCGGAACAGATCAAATTGGCTTGATATACAGCTTGAGTTGCTAAACATTGCATTTTCGGACAAATTAATTGAGTTTTCATTGAGAGATGATGGTTGCTAGCCTTACTTGAGCTGTATTTCTCACGGGACCGCCGTAATTACAAGTATATAAAGCCTCACAGTTGTAAAGACCCATGTTGAAATTAAACTTGACAATATCTTAGTAAAATTGTCGTTACCATTGAAATTGTTGTTCTCGTTTTCCGTCTACACTGCAACACGCTTTATCCTATGTTATTATCATATATTGAATGTGTTCATAACTTGACAATTAGGGAAGATTTCACAGCTCTCTTTTATCCACAACCCAATAAACCTGGAAAAAAAAATCCGAATGGTTAAAGAAAATGCAACAGCTGTCAGCTGGAATTTCCCATTCTCCCCATAGTTTTGCAACTCCTGTGAAGTTCTATGTCGGCAATCTCACTAACGGTAGATGGGCATCAACCCCAACTCATAGTAGCAAACACAAAAGTTCCATATCTGGTGTTGGAGTGCCATCACAACTTTGAAAGAAAAGGCGTGCACCTGAGCCTACTAGATCCGTGAAATGTGGATGCAAATTTCGTACATGGCTGATTTGATGAAATTCCGCCTAGAAGAGAACAAACAATGTTAGCCTAATTGACGAACACTCAATAAAAAAGGGAATGTGTTCGTCAAAGGACCTCTGATGCTCAGAAAAAAGTAGAGAAAACAAAAAACTTGAGAGAGTTCTAAGTAGTAAGGGACGATTACAATTTTCTTTGAATGACTTGGCTATTTATTGGGAAGAAACCCTAGCAGGTAGTTGGGAAGGAGGTTGTAGAGCATACTAGGCAATCCTTGATGATGCAGGCCAGTCTCCACAGTCTTACCTAGGGGTGGTTCGGTATGGGATCCCATACCGAAACCATTGTCCCGATTCCCAAACCGAAATTTTTGGGAATCCCAAATTCAATCCCAATCCCAAACCAAATTTTCGGGAATCCCAATTTTCGGGAATCCCGAAATAATTTCGGGATTTCGGGACAAATCGGGAATCCCAAAATGCTTTTGGGCTTTTGGACTAAAATTTGACATATTATGTTTTTGGGCTAAAATTTGACATATTATAAAGTAATAAATAAAGTAACAAACTCAAAAGCAAAAATAGTAGTTACAAGCCAAGGTTTATAAATAAAGTAACAAACCCAAAATCAAAAAAATTAGTTATGAGCCAAAATTGTGTTGTATTCTCCTCACCTCCCAAATTAGCCGTGTCTAAAACAATAAACCACAAATCATTTACATTGAATTATAGTCTAATAGATAATAAATACTAAGAAAATAAAAGAGGAAATTAAATTGTTTACAACTAATAAATAATGAATAATTCAAATACAAACTTTTCATATCACTAACTATTAGTACTAGTTAGAACTTAAACTACATCAAATATTAAGGTGCATCAATTATAACTATCAGTATACCCTTTATTAACCTCCCTATAGTGAATTACACCACATCAGTTATATTAATTAGTTTTATTAATGTACTAGTTTATCAATTAACAATATGCATGCACAATATTAAGGTACTAGTATAATATATGTATACTGATATATATAATCAAACTTTTCTGATGAACTTAAACTAATATCCAAAGATTAATCACATTAGTTGAGACAACTGGAATATAGAAACAAACAAAAGATTAATCATATTTATTTCAATTCGGTATGGGAATACCGAAAAAATGGAGATGGAATACCGAATCCCATACCGAAAATTTCGGTTTGGTTCGGGATTACATACCGAAAATTTCGGGAATTTTGGTTTGGGATTTTTTTGGTTTGGGATCGGGATTTTTTCGGTTTGGTTTGGGATTTTTGGGATTTTTTTCCAACCCTAGTCTTACCAGCTAGCATTCCTGAAGGTCCCTTGGTAAGAGCGCATGTGCGTTTGAACACGCAAAGGGAGACTCTGAAGAGTCGTTGCCTTGCCATAATTGAGACTGGGTATAGCCTAATGACATAATGTACTATAGGCGGCAAGGAGAGTCCATAATAAGTGTCATGTGAAGTTGGGAGAGTCCATGACACACACCATGGGTGGCCTTCAAAGCCCATGATATGTTAGTGGCATAAAAGTCCAATTACCTTATAACATACTACTTATGACGTCAAGAGTAAAACCGTCACAATGAGCATATACTCCATGTGTCCTCCTACTAGATGTGATTAATTTATGTCTTCACATGAACTACTTCGCCCAAATCTCAGGACAACATAATGGAGTCACTAAGGACAAGGTAATAGCACGAACAGTTGCTTCCTTAGGAGAACGTCATCGAAGTAAATTGAGGAAGAAAATCAAAGCTGAGAAAATGAATCTTGTGGATGAAGTAATCAGTACTCTGTGTTGCTTTTGGGAATTTTGGGGAAAGACATCCTCTTCGGATCCCTTCCTCCTAATCCACCAAATCAGTAGATTTGTGTCATTGAAATTTGATCCAATGACTGAAATTATTATAAATTTTAAAGTGAACCCCTGTTTGTAGTCGTTGAATCAAAATTCAATGGCACAAATCCACTAATTTTGTGGCTTAGGAGGAAGGGATCCGGAGATGATCCATTTCCTTTGGCTACTCAGGCTTCTAACTATACAAAATTTGTAGTTCAATCTCTATTGATTGTTGAAAGCCTAATTGGTTCTCATTATGATCCATTCGCTGGCCATAGTATGTGTTTATAGTGTATCAGTATATACTTAAACCAATAGTCTGCCCATTAATCAGTATTATACTATCAGTTTGGAGATGTTGCGAGGTGGTTATAAAGCCTTATGGTATTATCTTTAGCCACAATGGCTTAGAACATTGGTTCACCAATGGTTTGATTCGGTTTGTGGTGTAATATGCACCTATCGCTTAATAAAAAATTTGCATCTATATTGAAATAAATATTAGATTTTTTTTCTTTCCAATTTATAGAAAATTCATTGCCAACTTGTTAACCTCGGAATTTTAAATTTACAATCTCATAATGCTAAGATATTCAGTAAATTACTATATTATATAATTGGTTTAGTTTTTTAACACACGATAATATCTAGCTAAAGAAAAAGGGGGTGAGCTTACTCAGACAATTAGTTATCACTGATAACTGGAAAAAAATTCCAAAAATCCCAAACCAAACCGAAAAAATCCCGATCCCAAACCAAAAAAATCCCAAATCAAAATTCCCGAAATTTTCGGTATGTAATCCCGAACCAAACCGAAATTTTCGGTATGGGATTCGGTATTCCATCTCCATTTTTTCGGTATTCCCATACCGAATTAAAATAAATATTATATATATATATATATAATTTTTTTTATTATAAGAGAATTATTTCAACCGTTCATTGTTTTAGATTTAATATGTGTATATATATATATATATATATACATACAATTACCAACAAGAAGGGAGCAACCACAAGCATCAACAAGATCAAGGGGACGAAGGGGCCGAAGAGGCCAACAATATTTATAGACTTTAAGCTTTGCTTTTTAGCTTTTGGTTTGTAACTTAATTATTGAAACTTTGGCTCATAACTAATTTTTTTGATTTTGGGTTTGTTACTTTATTTATAAACCTTGGCTTGTAACTAATATTTTTGCTTTTGAGTTTGTTACTTTATTTATTACTTTATAATATGTCAAATTTTAGCCCAAAAACATAATATGTCAAATTTTAGTCCAAAAGCCCAAAAACATTTCGGGATTCCCGATTTGTCCCGAAATCCCGAAATTATTTCGGGATTCCCGAAAATTGGGATTCCCGAAAATTTGGTTTGGGATTGGGATTGAATTTGGGATTCCCAAAAATTTCGGTTTGGGAATCGGGACAATGGTTTCGGTATGGGATGCCATACCGAACCACCCCTAGTTATCAGTAACGTGGTTTAAATTCGCATTTGGCGAGAATCGAACTTAAAACATCTCACTTATAAGTGAAAATAAATATCACTAGAATAAATATATATAAAAAAATATCAAACTGGACCAACACAAATGATGTAGTTTGGTTGGTTTTTCGGTTTTTCAGTTTGTTTGGGTTAGTTTTTCGGTTTGTTTGCCCAACCTTAATTCAAATGGCATACATTACAATTGGAAATTACAAAGCCAGAAACAAAACCAATCCCTCATTAAAATTGAAATTATATAATTCAACAAAGCAACCAACAAGCATGAAAAAAATATCCTTCCCGTTAATTCAAAGCTTTAAAATTGGCTTCATTAACCCAACTCCCAATTGTGTTAAATTAAGTGTGGCACTCCACAGTGATTTAGATGAACGTGAAGCCCGTATATAAGAATCATGTTTGATTTTTGTAAGAATAATATTTGGCTACTCAAAGATGATTGGGAACTCTTACTCAAAATTTCTCAAAATTGTTCGTTGTCAATTTATGGAACTTCGTGTTTATAATAAGAGTCGTTCATATTATAAATCATCCTATAAAGATCACATTTACAAAAAATCAATTAAAACTAAAGTTGTTTAGTCATCAAACTATTTAGAAACAAATGAACAGTATTTGTAAAAGCATTACAAACCGTTTATATATTTGTTACAATAGATTGACCAAACAACCTTAGTTTTAATTTATTTTTTTGTAGAGATGATCTTTACAGTGTGATTCATAGTATGAACGGTTCTGATCATAAGTACAAAGCTTTGTGATTAAAATACTAAAAGTTCTGAGTATGAGCTCCTACTCATCTTTGAGTAATCAAATATTGTTCTTTTTGTAATACTAATTCAATATATTTGTATCACACTCGTAAATTTGATATAACTAATGAGCCTAATATATTGAACTCATAAATTCAATAAATTAGTATCACACTATAGAAGTGTGATTTATATATGAATTCAATATATTAGTATTACACTAACTTTTTTCGACAGGCCTAAGGGCTGGTTTGGTATTGCTGTGCTTTGAAAAAAAGCTGCTTCTGTTGTGCTGTGAAAAAAAGCGGCTGTGAAAAAAAGCCAGCAGAGTGTTTGGTAAACTTTTTTGTGAAAGTGCTTTTGGAAAAAAAAGTAGTATGATAGTGTTTGGTAAACTTTTATGTAAAACAGCTGTGACTGTGTAAAATGACCAAAAAGGGTATAATACTAGATGTGTCATTAATTTAATTTTCTTAACCAATAAAGGTGAATTACTAAATATACTTTATTTGTAAAACAAACATATTTATAAACTTTATCTTAAATATTAATTAGTATGACAAACTACTTCAATTGAAATATTTTAGACTGAATAGTTAGAATTCATTACTACAATATTGTTAATGTACTTAATAGTAATCTAATTAGATGCATTCATCAAACTTGCCGCTATTCTATTTCTTAATAACGAGCTCAACTCGCAAATACAAATAACGAGCTCAACTCGCAAATACAAATCATCCAAAATTACAGGGGAATAAAGAGAAACTGAAACAAGTGTGGCTTCCATCTGCACTACTTTGGCTGTAGAGGCACAAGGACGATCCCTCTCTCTCCCTATCTACAGATAAATATATCTTATAACCGCTGTTCAATGCTTGGTAAACTTCCTGAGGACTTCAAAGTAATCGGGAAATGTTTTTCTGGTACAACCGGGATCCTTGATAGTAACTGGAACGTCTCCACAGGCAGCAAGAGAAGTAATAAGCATATGAAGGTGTGGGAATGGCTGTACCAAATACTAGTACAACAGTAGAGGTGCTTATGCCTGTTCAAGTATTATCGCCAAAGGATTAACCATTATGTTCATCAAAACAGTACTGGAAATCAAACACTAGTCAAATATCGACTTACTCTTCTCGACAGCAACTCCATTGCTCTTGAGACTCTCAGCAATTGTGATCAGAGTAGGAATGGCTGTACCAAATAACTTTCACAAATTAGAACAAAATGCTGAAACTTGATGCAAATTAAAACCATGGCTGCTCTAATTAACACTAAGAAATCTGCAGTCAATATTGTCGGAAAAATAACATAAACAAATATACATGGAAAGGAGGAAGATTGAACAAGTTGTCGGTACCCATTCCCAATGCAGAGAGCTCAACTGCATTGTACTGCTTGATGTACCTCTGCAACCGAATAACAGATTCAAGAAAGCTCCTTTAGAAACATCCAAACCCACCAAATATATGCATCAAAACTTAATACAAGCAAGAACTTAATACAAATATATGCATGTGTTTGCTCAGTCAGTAGGTGCCCACTTTCTAGTTTCTGCTCTTGGGCTTCCATTTAAATCTCGAATTTTGATCTGGGTCTGAATCCGATTTTGCTTTCTCTGTCTCTGTGACCCGGTTAGGTCGTATTCGGATCTCCGGTGGTTGTTCACGATGCTTCGTTTGTACGGACAGGCATGGATCTCGTCGTCTACATCGATTTCGCACTCTGTTTCCGCTGATTCGCTGAAAGTTTATTAGTTTTGTGCAGAGAGCAGCCAAACCCTAACCTAAAAATTAAATTAATAGCAAAAATTGAAAGCAAGTCGAGTAGTTGGTACCTGGAAGGCGACGGCGGTGTGGCGTTGAGAGTGACGGAGAGAAACGAAAAAGAGGAGGAGGAAGAGGTGCAGCGGCGGGAGGGAAGAGGGTTTTTTGTGATAGAGAAAGAGAGAGTGCAGAGTGTAGGATCGGGAGAAGGAGAAAGGAGAAAGGAGGGGGCAGTTTTGGTAAATTGAAAAAATTCATTAATGGGGTACTGTAGCTCCGCGTTTTGGAAAAATAAGCGGCTTCTGGAAGCTGCAAAACGCAGCTTCCACTTTTTGGCTTTTTTTCATGTGAAACTTTGAAATTAAGCTGTTTTGAGATGTTTACCAAACACCAAAATCCTTACCAGCTTTTTTTCATGGTAGCTTTTTTAAAAAGCACCTCAACCCCAAACTGGGGCTAAGTTACATATTTAACGAAAAAGAGTATGTGGATATTATTTTTTTAATAAAAGTAAATTGAGGACTGAAAAAATTTTGGTTCACATGATTAGTCTGAAGATTCCATGTGGGCCATTTCTAACCTTATTCTGTGTTTTGTCATAACGACCACAGTCTGCTCAACTCCTTGATTTTTTTATTTTTAATATATCAATATTTTTACGTTAAAAAGGGGAAAGGGTTCGGCTAATTCATACAATGACAATCTAATTTGACATCAAATTTTTCATTCACGAGATTTGAAACTAAAACTTTTCACTTTCAAGTGAAAAAAAATATCAACAGACTGTAGTACTGAATGGCTGCTAAACTCCTTGTTAAATGAAGCAAAACTCAGATAACATGGACGCAAAAGGATCCTCTTCGGATCCTTTCCTCCTAATCCACCAAATCAGTGGATCTGTGCCATTAAAATTTGATCAAATGGCTACAACAGGAGTCCACTTTAAAAGTTATAATAACTTCAGTCGTTTGATCAAATTTCAATAGCACGGATCCACTGATTTGATAGATGATGAGAAAGAGATCATGGACTAATGGGACATTGTAAGTGGACCCCATCCCACCAACCACGGCATAATTGGAAAAGCAAAGGGTAAATTTTAGTTTGCTACCCTTAAATTTCGTAGTTTTTAACATTTAGTATATGAAGTTTTTTTTTGTTCCAGAATCATACCTAAAGTGTTAATTTTGGGATAGTCTCATACGTCTGTTAGTCTGGCTTTTAAGTCTCCCGTTAACTGATGACGTGGCACCTATATGAACAATGATTGGACGCCATGTGTCATTAGGGAATCCACGTGGAAATTAAAAATTAAAAAAAATTTAAAATATTAAATAATTAAATAAAAATGTTAAAAAAATAAATAAAAGTATTAAAAAAAAAACTCAGAAATGTCTTCCCCAGCCGACAACACTCCTCCATCCCCTCCATCCCCTCACCCACCGACACCCTTCCTCTTCCTGATAACCACCCCTACCACCGAGCCTTTTCTAACACCGCAGAGCTTAAAAGTCTGCAACTTTCTGCCATTTTCCAGAGCTTCAAAGCTTGTGAGTAATTTACTGGGTAAAAATCGATTCAAGTTTTAAATTTTGGGTGCATTTAGTAGTTATTTTTCTTGTTTTGCAGAAGGATTTTGTTTTTATAGGATTATTCAAGAACCAGCGCAAGCGAGCGAGCTCCAATGGCGGAAAACGGCTCTCTTCTCTCTCCCAGAGAAAAACACACAAGACTCACTTCCTCTTTCTTCGCTAATCCGAGATTGTTCACCAGCTTCACCTCAAAAGCCGTCTCTAAATCCGACGCCATAATGAGCCCAACATCCATGCTCGAAACGAAACCGTTTCTGGGCCTCTGAAACCCCTTCTGGTCCGAATCGAACACCCCCATAACCCCGGAACCCGAATCCAGACACATCCACTGGGACAAATTGGACTCCAAAGGCATCGGCCTCGCCATCGTCGACGCCCTCAACGAATCCGACCCGAAACCAAAACTCTCAACCTCGCCCCAGAGCTTACAAATCTGCAGCTTTTTGCTGGTCTTCTTCCTCCATTGGTGAGAGAGGAAGGTCGAAGTGGGAAGGCAGAGTGGGGATCTTGCGGTAGTGTGGGAGTGATTTGGTAAGGGTGTGTTGCAAAGGAGAGAAGGGAAGAGGGGTCGGAAGGGGTGAGGGAGAAATGCCCAAAATTTTATTTTTAAATTGTTTTAGTTTTTATTATTTTATTATTTTATTTTTTAATATCTAGTTAGCGTACCGTTATTATCCACGTGTATGTCATATCATCTATTAATAATAAATTTAACAGCAATTTTAATAAATGTATGAAACAGATGTATAAAAATATCTCAAAATTATAACTTTATCATATGTACCATCATAAAATAAAAAAAATTTCTAATAAATATTGAAAATCAATAAACTTTAGTAAACTTGAGATTAACCAAAAAGAAATACTAAAACGACACTCATGATGCTATTTGCTACACAGAAGTCTTCTCATCTCAGATAGTCAATCAATCAACGATACAAACTGAGATCTCAGTCTACACTCTCAGAAACCACAGAGAGAAACAATGGGGGAGACGAAGACCGTACATTCGCCATTGGTGACGTACGCTTCCATGCTATCGCTGCTTTCTCTCTGCCCTCCCTTTGTAATTCTACTGTAAGCGCTCTGTAATCTCTCGTTTTTGCGTTTTTTTTTCGGTGTGGAAATTGAAATGAATTTTGTGTTTTATTGCGTTGGGATTGAATTTTTTGGAGGGATGGTGATATGGGGACTAATGGGTTTTCGTTATTTCTTTGGTGTAGCGGGAAAAATAGTGTGATCGAATCCGAATCTCGTATCGGTTTTTCGTTTTCTTGTTTGTTTCCGTAGAAAATTTTAGTTTTCTGGGAAAATATGATGTTTTGATCTGGAAATAGTACAGGGACATGTTTAATTTTGCTTCAAAGAAAGAGATGCTGGTATTAAATCTTAAGAAGTGTAAGATTATTTGATTTTGTATTGTACAAAGTCCTGAACTTGTATTTTGAAGTTTGTATCTCGCGTAGATCCATTGATAACTGATTTCTTTTTATTCCTTTTTTTTTTTTTTAATAATCCCCTCTTTCGATAATGACACGATGCATGCAAAGAATCGGAAATTGAAACCTTAAGAGTGTTAGATATTGGTTAGTTGGGATGATGTAAGTGACTTAACATTACCACAGCTAAACTGATACACAGTTCAATAAAGCAAAACGAAGTTCATGTGAATAAAAACTAAACAGTTACAGAATTTGGAGCACCGTATCAATTTATCAATGTATACGCCATTTACTGCTACATGACATCAATGTAATGGTCATGATGATCACGAGTGATTGAACTCAGAATCTGATACTTAATGCAGATGGTATACAATGGTACATGCTGATGGCTCTATTCTGCAAACTTGGGATCACTTGAGGCAGCATGGACTGCAGGGGTTCATCGAAATCTGGCCCAGACCTACTGCCACTGCATGGAAGATTATTGCCTGTTACGGTGCTTTTGAGGCTGCACTTCAGCTTCTTTTACCTGGAAAAAGCGTTGAGGGACCAATATCTCCAGCAGGGAATCGGCCTGTATACAAGGTGCTGGATGCTCGATTTCTTTATCCAAACTGCTTTGTGAATGTGATCATACAAATATGGTTTCCAATCTGTATGCCAAGCTCAAGCTATATGTCTTGAATGTTCTGGAACGTTTGGCCTTCTAGATTTAAATTTTGTATAGCTTAAAGTCTTTTCTTGTCAATTTTCTGTATCTGGACTTGCAGAAATGTAGGATTGTTACATTGATAACTATTAGCTATAAGTTGATCTAGTTCTCTGAAATATAAGGAAACTTCTACTTCTTGTTCTAGATAGTTCTATATGCATAGTCTCCTTTCTCCTTTTCTAATATAGCATGTGCATTTTGCAGGCAAATGGTATGGCAGCCTATTTTGTAACGTTGACTACCTACCTTGGCCTTTGGTGGTACATACTTTCTCCATCAATTCACAGTGTTTGCTTTTATGAATGCGGGTGCATCGTTTGATTCCACATTCCTAGAGAGGCGGTCATAGTCTTGTTTTAGTTTCTTGGTCGGCATTGTTGAGTTATTGACAGGGTGGCCTTGTAGCACCAAAATGTTTGGAGTGCATTTGATGTTTTTCTATGTTAAATTTCAGGTTTGGGATATTCAATCCTACAGTTGTTTATGATCATCTGGGAGAAATATTTTCAGCCCTCATTTTCGGAAGCTTCATTTTTTGTATTTTCCTGTACATAAAAGTGAGGGTTTATCATTACTCCGAAATATAAGTTTATCTGCAACTTACAAATGTTTTTTTTTTTTGATTTTTTTGTTTGACACAAATACGTTATGTTTGCAAGGGCCATGTGACACCATCTTCCACTGATTCTGGATCATCTGGGAATGCAATAATTGATTTCTATTGGGTAAGTTTCATTTATAAGTCATTTTTGCCTTTTTTCTATCTATTGTGTTCCCTGCCACACAAATTTAAGAATTGACATATCTTTTGGTTTTAACTAAATATATACCCTTAGAAGGTTCACATTCAGTGTGTGTCAACCTTTAATTTATTAATTATGCTAATTTGTACATGTGTGACTCTGCCTTGTGACTAATATTTGCAAGATGTGTTATATCCATTCACCCATTCTAAATAAACCATGTGAAAAATGTTTCTTTCAACAAGTTGTGTTACCTATGATCTATCTGAGCAAATGAGCCGTGCTTTTCTTTTGCAATAAGCAGTTCACAATGCACACAGAGCTGTAGACATGGTTTTCAACCTGGTTCATGATGTACTATATCAGAATGAATAAGTTTGTCCCAAGATAATTTTTGCTAATGTCACAGCCTTACTCTAGTAAACATGGTTTTACTTTTTGATATACTGAATTACTGGATTACCTTGGCATTCCTTTTAATACAACTAGAAGGGATTATTGTGTTGGTCGATTAATGGGATGGACTTCTTCTCCAGATTTAGTTGTACCCTCTCTTTGTTTTATAACATTCTTGCTTCCTGTATAAAAAATAAATAAAATAAATAAATAAATAAAATAAACTACTGGACTACTTCAATAGGTTGTAGTTTGTATCTGCGCACATGTAGAGTTATTGTTATGTGATGCTTCTTTTATTAAAAAAAAAAATGATAATCTATAATTGTTGGATATGGCCTAAATTAATGTAAAGAAATTATGATTTCCTCTTCATTTTTGTAGGGCATGGAGTTGTATCCTCGAATTGGCAAATACTTTGATATCAAAGTATTCACAAACTGCAGATTTGGGATGATGTCTTGGGCAGTTCTTGCTGTGACTTATTGCATAAAGCAGGTAAATCTTCTACGATATTTCTCCTGTCCTTGTCATTTAGGTCCAACATTTCACTTCAGTCCATATATTTCTAATTTCAAAGTTACCCGTGTAGATTTGTTAAAATTTTCAATGTCATCCACATTTACTTTTCCGTCACTTTTTGGTTGGTGGACAATGTGAATTTTCCCCCATTCAACCAAGGCAGAAAAACCTGTGTGATCGAAGGACCAAGATGAAGAGTGTATTTGTTCACCTTTTGAAATTTTTTTGTCAACATATTTTTTTCTAACATTTAACTTTTTTCTTGTTGCACCAGTATGAAGTCAATGGGAGAGTAGCTGACTCAATGCTTGTGAATACTATATTGATGCTGGTGTATGTCACAAAGTTTTTCTGGTGGGAGGCTGGATACTGGAATACAATGGATATCGCACACGATCGAGGTACACATATGCTCTGCCTTTTACTTTTTCTCCCACTGTTTGGTTGGCACAACTGTTGGATATTGGCATGCCCAAGACTAACCATCAGATGTGATAATATTAATCAATGTTATAAGGTCAACATTTAACTGTAATGAATTTGGTGGTCTTTTCGGGGGTTGATTGTATTGATATTTGATTACCACGAGCATGGTATTTACCATGTGTTTATGGTGATCTACGGGCCTATTATAATACCAATCTCTTAGCAAGTCCAAGATTTTCATGCTGACTATTGTCATATTTGTTCTTACCCTTGTAGATTGACACATAGTAATGTAACTTTTTCAATCATGGTTTCCTCATCCTGCACTTGGTTCAGTTCATGCTTCATCTCACTATGATTCATTGTACTTTGGTCTCTGGCAGCGGGATTCTATATTTGCTGGGGTTGCTTAGTCTGGGTTCCATCTATTTACACTTCTCCCGGCATGTACCTGGTCAACCATCCTGTAAATCTTGGTACTCAGGTATAATAGCATCCTGATATGTGGTTTGCCCCATTTTTTTAAGTATGAATCATAGTAGTAAACGTATTTGGTTATGAAGGCGTGTTCTAAGTTTGTCTACTTGTGATTTCTTTATGTTTTAGGTCATGCACATTTTCTTTTTATTCAGGGGTCGTAGTGAATGATGAATAGTTATTAACTTATTATGTACACTCCTGATTCTAAAAGTTCAATGAGCATAGGAAGAGAAGGATTAACATTTAGATTTTGGTTATTGACTAATAGATTAACCATTGGAGTTTGGTTACTGGTTAGGTTGTTTGTATGAATATTATGAAGTTTTCTTAACGTCAAAGATTTTCAATGCTTTGCATTTGGTTTCATTGCATCATGCTAGAATAAGAATTCATCCTTATGCAAGATAAGGTATTTTCAGAATTCAGGAGTACTACCTTCTGCTTAAAACTGTAAAATCCAGTGAACATCAATGAGTTAAAAAGACAAAAGGGAAAAAGAAATTTTGTGCAACAAAGAGAAGCATGGTTTTAAATAAAAACTTTAGGTAGGGTAAGTCTGGCTGCAGTTTTGGCAATTTGAATTCAACTGGATTTATACATGTCCGTGAAATTTCTCAGCTGAGTCATTTATCTTCTTTCTTCCTATCATTAGTTGTCACATTTCTAACAATCTCCAACCTCATGTTCCAGCTAGCACTTTTTATTCTGGCAGCCGGAATCCTTTGCATATACATCAACTATGATTGTGACAGGCAAAGGCAAGAATTTCGCAGAACTAATGGAAAATGCTTGGTTTGGGGGAGAGCACCATCAAAGGTGAAATTTTTTCCTAAGGATTATCGTGTGATTAATTATATGCACAGTTTGAGATTATATTGGCTGACAGAAAAACATGATTTGCACATCTCAGATAGTCGCTTCATACACTACCACATCTGGGGAAACAAAGACAAGTCTTCTTCTAACCTCAGGATGGTGAATATTTCAACTGAGTATTTTTGTTAGTTCTTTTTGTCGTACATGGGGAGTGAGTTGAGCTGTGCTTTTGTTGATCTCTTCTCGTTTATGTACATTGCATATTTTGATTCATGCCTATGCTAGAGTTCAAAAGATAAGCCTGAAACTTTTGTTTTAAGTCATTGCTAAGGAGTATTGCTCTCCCTGCAGGTGGGGTTTATCTCGTCACTTCCATTATGTGCCAGAAATATCAGCTGCCTTTTTCTGGACTGTTCCAGCCCTCTTCAATCATGTAACCATTTATATTTAGTGTTTTCTTACAAAACAACCACCGATTCTAGCTTACTTCAGTTTTCGTGCAGTTTAGCTGAACTATTTCCTTGTTTTCCTGCAGTTTCTACCTTACTTCTACGTGATTTTCCTGACAATCCTTCTGCTTGACCGAGCAAAGAGGGATGATGACCGATGTCGCACCAAGTAAGCAGATACAGATTCCTCCTATTACATAATATTCATTTCTTGGGGTAATCCAAAAAAATGAATAGACGTCCAGTGGTTTCAAAATAAAGTAATCAAGTTGTAAAAACCATAAAAAATGAAAAACAGTTTCAACCATTGTATGTAATGTTGATGAGATTTTGACGAGTACCGTTTGCAGGTACGGCAAATACTGGAAGTCATATTGTCAGAAGGTTCCCTACAGGGTCGTTCCCGGAATCTACTGAAGAGTCCGAATCCGGTAAGCATCGACCAGTGCGCCACGTTGAACTCGCTCTTTCTACTCACAGCTCATTTGGTGATTTGTGAATGCTGTGTATGCTTGCTTTGGGATGTAAGTTTTGGTGTATTGTGGTATTAGTCTTGTCGACTGCACAAGTAAACATTAGTTTTGTATTGCTTATGACTCCGTTATGTACAATTTCAGTGTTTTCTTTTTTTCATTAATCGCCATCAATTTATGTGGAAAATTACGACTATACCTGGACTTCAACCTACTCCAATTTGATGATGGATGGTGATGGATAATCAACTCTTCACTATGACTTCCTGTCCAAAAGTCTCATTAATGTGGGTGGTGGTTATCATAGTCTCGTTTTCTCCCTCTAAACTTCTCCCCTTGTTGAGAGAGATGGAGAAAAGTGGAGTGCGAAAAATGTAAAAAAAGGAGAGTGCAAAAATCACTCCGTTCTTAGAGCCAAGAGTTTAAATTTTCCTTTTTCCCTTTCTTTACAGGAAAAGGAGGACATTTTGAGGGGGATTTGTCCAAAGGATAAAAGCGAACTTTAACGAGAAGCTCTTGATACTGTTGGCTTTAACGAAAAATCATATTTTTACACTAAAAAATCAATGCTGGTACTATTCACTTTACCTTTTATTTTGTCCATATCTTAAAAATTTAAAGTTTTCAAGTCATTTTTATCAGTTTTTCTAAAGATAAATACTTTGAGGATGCCATTTTTAGACTATCATTTCCAAAATAAAACTTGCATGAAAAAGAAAAGAATTAACTTGGCTCCTCAATGGTTGAAGAAGACTCTCCTCAATTCATTTTGTGCTCGATTTATGAAATTTGGGACTTATGATTAGAGTCGATAATATTATATTATTTTATAAAGATCATCCTTAAATAAATTAATAAAATATGAAATCATTTAGTATCAAACTATACAAAAATAGATTGACAGATTCAATGAAAGTATTATGAACTGTCCATTTATTTTCTATGACTGATTGACTAAACGACAATAGTTTTGATTTTTTGTAGAGATAAACTTTACAAAGGAATTTATAAAATAAATAGTTACAATCTTAAACACGACGTTCTGTAAATCGAATACAAAATAAATTGAGGAGCTTAAGGATCCAATCTCCTCTAAAAAGTTTCGAAATTTGGATGCCTTAGATCCTCTGATGCATTATTGACACAGTGTTTACGGGAATTTATATCATACAACTGACATAGTTCTCTTTCTATATATTTCAGTCACGTGATCTCTTGATCAGAGCAATGTTATTCTTTTAATTCATACTAGCATATGGGCACACACAAAGTGTGGGAGAGATTTTTTTATTTTTGTCTTTGAAATAGAAGAGAGATGAAGAGAGATAAAGAATGTGGGAGCGGGAATTTTTTTTTTTTTTACTTTTTTTAATTTAAGATATGTTAGGATTATATGGAGGTGAGGCTTTAAAAAACAAAAAAAATTGGTTGTGTGAAATTACATTTCTACCTCATATTTCTTATTCATGTTCTGTTTTAATTAGAGGGTTAAACTGGTAATTTCATAGGATTTTGGTTGACAATCAGTTTTTTATTAATTAATATAGAATTTTAATTAACAATAAATATTTTATTAATTAGTAAAGATTCAACAAATAAAGAGAGTTTAAATCCAAGACCCAATAGATTAGATACAAAAGTACTACTTATGATCAAGAACCAAGAGGGCTGGAGTGCGTTCAGCTGGACTGTAGTTTGGGCGGAGCCCAACTTACTTTCTTATAGTCATACATTTTAAGCCCACAAAGAAAAAGCCCATTCGATTATATGTTCGTCTCCTTCTTCTTCCCCCTTGTTATTGCTTTTCTTCAATCCTCCCTTTGATTTCTCCAGTCGGCGCCACCTCCTTCCTCAGGTACTTCTCTACGTCCTTGTATTTATATACGCTTTTGATTTTTTGCTTTTGCTTCTGCTGCTGTTAAATGTGATGGGTTTGTTTTATTCAGTTTTTATTGTATGAGTGGTGGGTTGCAGATGTAAATGGAAGCTTGGTTTTTTGGTGGGTTGGCTCTCAAATTCCAAAGGGTAAAAGGTTTTTTCTTCTTCAGCTAATTCATACATACTGCACTAATTCAGGGGTTATGAGTGCCAAGCAGATGAAAGTAAGTACCTTTATAAATATATATATATATATATATATATATATTTGTGTGTGTGTGTGTGTATGTGCATACGTATATGTACGTGTGTGTATCTGCTAAACCTTAGGAAACTCAAATGCCAATACTCTAGGGCTCGTTTGGTGCCTAAGATTGGATTGGATTGCATTCTGAGGGGGGATAAATAATAATTTCGTATTTCTCTGAAGCTACACGAATAGGCACATCAAGAAGAAACAGTGACAGAGGCGCAGCTGCTCCAGGGCAATAAGGAGTCGATCTGCTCCTACTCACTCAGATGGATAGTGTTTTTGAACTGCTGCCAAATCAAGGTCACAGATCCCACTAAGCTTTTGTCTGAATCTTCACGGAACAAGAAGCGGTTCACCGAGGGATAACGCCTAGATAGGTGGGGGAAATGCAACCACAAAGCATGGATTATGGTCCGACTCATTGATCTCATTCACCATACATGGGATATAGTTATGCTAAACAGTCCAATCCTAGGCACCAGAAAAAACCCTATATAATGTAGGTAAAGTAGAAAAAACCTATATTGTTGACCTGACCCTCTCTTGGTCTTTCCTAATTTTCTTATATAGCGTTTGGTTTGCAGGAAAAGTTGAACTTTCATGGAAAAAGTATGGAGATTTAGGTATTGTTTTCTGCACAGAGGGCCAACCCAAATCATCAAAGCACTGCGCATGTTCCCAATCTGCCACTTTTCATCACCAAAGGTGTGTCCAACTAACAAAACCCAGGAAAATTTCCCGAAAATTTTTGACCGAGAAAGAAGTGAACTCATTCTCAATCATCAAGTTGTGCATTCCACTTTATTGAAATGCTCTTCTGATTTGATTGCACTGAGATTCTTCTTGTGGTGTGCCGGACAACGCAATTATTTTCACAACAAGATTGTGATTGATCACATGGTTGGTGTCATCAAGCGCATGATGGAACAATACAGAACAGTTCAATTGATAATTAGGGAACTAGAGAGCATGGGGTGTGTTGTAAAATCTCAAACGTTCTTACTCTTGTTGAGGATTTATTGGCGTGGCGAACTGTATACAATGGTCTTTGAGGCTTTTGAGTTAATGGGTACTTATGGTTTTATTCCAAACACATTTGCTCGTAACATAATCATTGATGCGTTGTTCAAAATTGGGCATGGGGATTTAGCTATTAAGTTTCTGAAAGAAACCCGAAGGCCAAATTTTTTGACTTATAACATTGCACTGTGTAATTTATGTAATCTCAAGGATTTATGTCACATTCGAGATGTGTTGAGAATGATGTTGCGGCAGGGATATCACCCAAAAGTTGAGACTTTTGAGATGATTTTGAGCTGTTTTTGCAAAATGGATAATATAGTGGAGGCGCATCAAGTGTTGGGCCTACTGATTACTTTGGGCAACGTTGTGTCTGTAAATGTTTGGAGCATGTTGATGAATGGGTTTTGTCGATTGCAGAGACCTGATGCGGCTGGTCAGTTATTGGAGAAGATGGTTGAGACTGGTTCTTCTCCTAGTATTGTAACGTACACGACTTTAATCAGAGGATTTTTAAAATCTAATATGGTTAGTGAAGCATTCAATATTCTAAATATTATTGAATCTAAAGGATATGCCCCTGACCTCGTTCTTTGTAATGTGTTAATAGACTCCTTTGCCAAGGCTGGGAGGTGTGATGATGCCATCAATGTTTTTGTTAGCATGCGATCACGAAACTTGGCTCCTGATTCTTGTACTGTCTCTTCATTGTTATCCACCATATGTTTGTCTAGGAGGTTTCATCTGTTACCCAAGTTGGTTCGTGGACTTGTCATAGAAGCTGACTTATTGCTATGCAACTCACTTCTCTGTTATTTTTGTAAGGCTGGGTTTCCATCTCTTGCCGTGAAGTATTACAATGATATGCTTGATAGAGGTCTTATACCAGATAAGTATACTTTCGTTGGATTGGTAGATGGGTTGTGTAAGGCAAGAAGAGTTGACGAAGCAGTTGATGTGTACCAAGGGATTCTCCGTAGTTTCCCTGGACAGGATGCTTACATTCATACTGTGGTCATGGATGGGCTTATAAAGGTTGGTAAGTTTAATGCGGCCATTAGAGTGTTTAGAAAAGCAGTTGCAGAGGGGTTCACACTTGATGTTGTCGCATACACAGTTGCCATTATTGGGCTCTTTATGGGTGGTAGAGCTGGAGAGGCTTGGTCACTCTATCGCCAGATGAAGGAGGTCAGCTTGGCTCCTACTGCACATACATACAATGTAATGGTTTCTGGTTTCGTTAAAGAAAGAGATCTTAATATGGTTAATTTAATGCTACAAGAGATGATAGAAGCAAGAGTAGAACTGGGCTCCAATACTTTCTTGAGATTATCAAAATTCCTCTGTAGACCATATCATTCTGATTCAGTTATTGAACTATGGATTGAGATGAGAAGTTTGGGTTTGATATCTTCCAAGGTAGTACAAGAATTACTTTCCGACGAAGTAGCTGAAGGCGTGAAAGTAGATGATGGCCTCGTTGCATTTTTAGGCGTTAGTTCAGAAACTGGCTTATCTGTGGAGACATCTGGCTCTGAAGACGTTTATGATGTGGCTGCTTCAATGGGTTGAGATTTATAATGGTTGAGATCTGCCTCTTCAATGTCTTCTCTTGGAATTGATGATTTAAATGGTATTTCAGCTAGCATGCTAAAGGTAATTCCGTAACTTTAATTTCTATCCTGTGTAATTGGTTGTCTTTGAATTGCCTTTGGCCCTTGGGATTAATTCTTAAAACATTAAATTTGAGTTTAAGAATTTCTTTTGGATATTTGGTTCATTGGTAGCTTTGATTATTCCAAACATGAGCTTGTTCCTCACTCCAAAAACACTTGTTTTTTTCAATTATTACTTATTAGGAACACAAGTTAGAATTGAACAGACAGGAACACAAGGTAGAATTGAACAGACATATTAGTCTAACAAATAAAAGGGAAACTTGTTTGATAGTTTTTGTTTTTGTTTTTTTTTTGTTTTTCCAAATGGGAAACATGTTTTTTAATAATTCGGGGAAAAGGTGCCATATCTTATAATTTTACAAATTTATAACTTTTAAGAATGATACGTCTCACTGATCTTGCACAATTTATTGGACTAAATAAGGGAAGGGGCAAAACTCAAGACTTTGTTTTCCATTCTTCACTTGTTTCAGTTCATGCTTCATCTCACTAATTGCTTTCCGCCACTGCGGTAAAGCGCCATCTGCATGCTTCATCTCACTACGATTCACTGTATGTTTGTCTCTGGCAGCTAGCTTCTATATTTATCGGAGTTGCCTAGTGTGGGTGCCATCCATTTATACTTCTCAAGATATGTACCTGGTCAACCATCCTACAAACCATCACTGGTTTGCCCAGTTTATTAAATTGTGAATTTAATCATCATATTTCTGCAGAATTTCTGAAGGTGTGTTCTAATCATCACCTTATTTCCATATTTTGAAGTATGCTCTTCCCTAGATGAATATTGATATGTATTTGTCAGTCATGTACATGGTAGTTATTGTGGGGTTATGGCTGCTCAATGATAATGCGAGGAAACAGGGTTATCCGTTAGACTTTGGTTACCATTTAGGTTGTTTGGATGAATTATGAAATGTTCATAGGGGAACAAAAGAAAAATAAAAACTTTACGCTGTCAAAGTGAGGTTGCGGCTTTTCGAATCTGGCAAATTTGGATTTTAGCTGAAGTTTACAAGTGTACCTAGCAGTACAAATTAAAATAAATTCATCTGCTCTTTTCTTCTCATTTCTTCCTCTTATCATTTGTCACATTTCTTAGCTAGCACTTTATGTTGTGGGGGATTGTGCATCTGCAACAAGTACGAAATGACAGGCAAAACCAAGAATTTCGCAAAGCAACATGCTTGGTGTGGAGAAAAGCTCTATTAGAGGTGCGTATTCTTGTCTGAAACCCTTAAGAGGTTTTTGGTTTTCTGAAACTTATAATGTGATTCTTATCTCGTACTATGTGTAGTTTGGTATATGTTGGCTGACAGAAGAGCCGCAATGCGTCCGTATCTTCACAGGCAGTTGCTTCTGCACTACCATATACGGGGAATCAAAGATAAACCTTCGTTTAACCTCAGAATGGTGCAGTCAAAAAAGAAAACCTCAGAATGGTGAGTGTTCCAGTTGTATTTTGTATTTATAACTCTGCATATGAATATAGTTGAATACTATATTCTCACTGCATATGAATAGAGTAGTGATATGTTGACTTCACGCAACATAGAATTGATTAATCATATGAGACCAAGAGTGTGTCCACAGTTGGTATCGTGTAAATGTACTAAATAATGTAGTAGGCAAATGAAATTATTGGAAGGCTAAGCTGAAAATGCGGTCTCACTCTGCACGACGCATTCTAATTTCATGCATATATAAGAATCTGAAAAATGAGCTGATGCTTTTGATAAAATCATTGCTGACTCTGCAGATGGGGTTTATATCAAAAGATGTTCAACCTACCCGGAATCCAAGTGCCAAAATCTAAATGACGAAGAGTAGGTTCCCCACATTCCTATTAGTCTTGGATGATATGGTACTTAGCGTCCGCGCCAAAGCATTAAGCCAACTCTCGGAAGCTCTGGTGCGTTTGTACACTCTGCCTTCCTTAATATGCAGTCCTCACTATACCGTGTGCATGGTACTGACTTCCTTGTCCTGCTCCTACTGAGCCTCTTGACCCGAGGTCGTGTAATGTAAAACTTGCAGGCTCTTGCTAGAAATTTGTTGATTCTAAATCGAATGAGATTCATTCTCATTTTATCACATAAAAATATTTTCTGGTGTTGCACTTATATCTCAAGCGAGATTGTTTACATGACAGAGCAACCATTGACGTGGTCATCACTGCAGATAGTGTAAGGATCAGTTGCTGCTTTTGAATCTGATGGCATGTAATTCATCGGCGGACGTGGGTTCGCATACACCTATCATTGCCATCACTCCTTGCACTTCTACTTCTACTTAGCACTTGGTTAGTTTCACGTTCGTCTAAGTGTTTGCCTTCGTCCCTATCATTTGTGTGTTAGAATATGAGTATGAGAAGGTGAAGTTTTAGGGACCGGCTATAGGTATTCGATTTGATAGAAAATTCTTGTTAATAAAAGGAATGCCAGTCCTTGATGAAGAAGGATTTCGTATAGCATTGAGAACAGTTCTTATGGGATGAGGAAACGAGTATCTGTTTCCTATAGGGATTTTAATAGGGAATCCTATTTGTTACGGAAAAGACTCTGTATATATATAGTGGGCCTCTCCTCTCACAGAACACATGCTCATCTTGGGACTTACACCTATTGTAAGTCGAGTTCTTGATTTTCTGCGAAAGGGGAGAAGGTCCGCTGAAAGCTTGGTGCCATGGCATCGAGTTCTGGAACCTCTGCAGGTATGCTTCTCTTCTTAATTCTCTCATACATGAACTGGTTAGTTCTTGTTAGATTGGGATTCGTGTTTTAATCTTGGTTAGTGAGTTTACCCTTACATGGCGATCACAATGCCATCGTTCTCATCCCTGTCTTTCGCTTCTGCTGAGCACTGGTTTAATTTCACGTTCCCCATCACGTTTGCCTTTGTTCCTATCATCTCCGATCAACCCCCTGTAACTTTTAATTCTGGTAAGCACTTGGTTATGTTCACGTTTCCTCGTGAGGTTTTCCCTTGTCCCTGTCGTCGCCGATCACAATACCATTGTCTCTATAACCATTAACCTTTGCAAATTTTCATCGAACTCCTCCTTTTCGGGCAAAACAAACTGGACAGTTTTCTTGCTTTTGCCTCCACCCAACTTGCTACTCTTACCAGTAGCTGCCGGGTTGCCCTGGGTGAGAAGAGGGTGGATGTGCAGGAGTCGAAGAAGGAGGGGAAGCCCTGGGTGCGAAGGAGGGAGGAGGAAGAGGGTGGATGTGCAGGAGTCGAAGAGGGAGGGGGAGCACTGGGTGCGGAGGAAGGGAGAAGAACCCAGATTGATGTTTTTTTTTTTTTTTTTTTTTTAATTTTTTAATATCCACTTGGCATCCCGTCATTGTCCACGTAACGTTATGTCATCAATTAATGATTAACTTAATTACAACCTTAACGGATGTATGGATCTATTTAATTTCAAGTATCACTTTGGGATAAAATGGATTCACACAGAACAAATTCACCATGACTGTTGTATCTTCGGTCTAATAGTATAAAGTCATTTATAAATGTTTCAACACAGAATATTCTATTATTAAACTGGGACGACATGTTACAGTAAACTCATTTTTGTTTCATTTAAAAATAAAATAAAAACTGCTCTCTAAAAGGGTCCGAAATTTAAAATTTGGGTCGGGCCATCTGAACGCGGGTTTAAAATATAACAGCAAAGACCTGGGTACTCTTCGGGGTCCATATCGAACACAAAATCTTTAATCTTGAGGTGCATCGTAAAACTTAAGATAAAAGATTCTTCTGTGAAATTCCAAAGCGATCGAGATCAAGCACTCTTTCTCTTTTGTTTCAGGTACAATCTTTAATCTAAGGGTTCTTTGCTTTCTGCTTTCTCAATTGATTCATCTGAGAATTTTTGTGGTAATTTTTCTTCATTTTTAGTCCGTTTTAGTGTGGTTATTCGTTTATTTGATGGGTTCTTAGATGAAGGGAGGGGCAAATTTGATTCTTGCTGCTGCAACTCAGTTACTAAGAATTAGGGTTTCTGGGTTTATTGGAGCTTGGCTGAAATTGGTATCTAAATCTAATTGAGGAATAACAAATTGGGGTTTGATTGTTTCTTGGATAACCTAATATCCTGGAACGAAGGGTTCTTTTCCTCTGTATATGTTTTACTTTCCAGAGGTTTTTCTGAGTTCAATTGACTTTGATTCTGTAGTAAATTATTTGTTTTAGGTCAATAAATAGTTTCATATTTCGCCCTTGTTATAAATGAGTTTGTTTGTTTCTTGGGAGACTGGGACAGTTTAATACTTACCTGTGATTTGATTGCCTTTTTGTTGAGAGAGCTCGTTCTTTTTCCACATATGTTTGCTCTCTGCCATTTCGTTCATCGCTCTCGTGTTTGTGTAGCATAACTTTTGTGTATTTTGATCTTATAGACACAAACATGTCGTCGTATGAGAATGTCGTTGGTGGGAAGCTGAAGCTCAAGGGAAAGGCTCTGGATGTGAAGGCTGCTGGAATGAAGAAGAAAAAGAAGCATAAGAAACATCAAGAACAACCTTCTATTGTAACAGAAACTGAGCTCTCAGCTGGTAAGTTATCCCTTTGATATCAAATTAAAACTGTTTTCTCTTCTAGGTTTGAATATTTTATCCTGTATTTTTCTCATTTTTCATGGTCTTGCAAATTGAGAAAGGTTTGACCGCACGTGAATCTGTAAAAATAAAAACTGTTTTTTGTAACATCAGATTAATTTTTAGTTTAGTAGTATATATTTATCAACTCTGTGTGTGAACAATGGTTCTTTCATCACCAGGACTATCCATTGCTAGACTTGATGGAATTTCAACGACAATGATTTTGTTTTGGAAAAAAAAAAAAGAACAAGAAGACATTGGTTTCGTTGATTTAGTCATTTTTTAGTACTTTATATGCAAGGCAGTACCAATGTCCAATGCTGTTTTCTAAAAAAAAAAAAGTATTGTATTGATGTTTACTTTGGTTCCTCTTTACCATGCCATTTCTGTTTTGAATTTCCCTATTGTCTGAGTTTAGTCATTCAATATGGTATTAGGTGTAGATGAAAGTACAGAAGTAACCAATCCCGATGAGGAAGAAATAAACGATCCTCACAAATCAAGTGAGGAGGGGAAGGCTCCTCACTACGGTGATCTTCTCACACCTGCAGAGAGACGATATATAGAACAGAGAGAGAGAATTGATAATCACAGGCTGGCCAAGACAGCAAACAAGTCCCACCGTGACAGAATTCAAGACTTCAACCAGTATCTGGCAAACATGAGCGAGCATTATGACATTCCTAAAGTCGGGCCAGGCTAACTCGGCGAAGTCTTTGAAAGTGAAAGCCAAAGGATCGAGTCTCGTTTTTCATTTCAAGTCAGTACTATATATATGGGGTCTAATTCATGCGGTCGTCAATTTATGCTTTGTATTCAATGTAGCAGTGTTTGCTTGGATATGAATCGATTCCTAATGACATTTTATTTGAACCTTGCTTTTGTAATTTGTAGTACTCATTTACGTCTTAGGGTTTTCTGAATTCCGTTTGTTCCGCTAAACCTTGGTATGGCTATGTCAATGTCATTGCTTTGCTGAAAAGTGGTAGACTTGCTTTTCTGTTAGCCAGTTTCTAAAGAGTGACTAGGCCTTTTACTTTCTTAGACCATCTTCAAAGGAAATGTCAAATTATAAGAATCATATTACAATTAATGGCTGATGTGGTAATCGGAAGTTTTATATCAAATTTTGTATATCTCCAACCGAATTGTCAAATGTTATTGTCTTATTTAAATATTGCTTCAAATGGTTGTAATTATTAAAAAATGTTGAAAATTGGTTGAAATGTAGTGGAACAAGGGGCTTGTCGTTTAAATTATTTTAAAATAAATTTGACATTGATGTCAAATTTCACTCGTAATCACAAAGTCTTCAAATCCAATCAGCAAATAATACTTCAGTTGGATAGACTTTTGATGTTAAATACGCACAGTGACATTTCGTCTAGAATTTTGACATCTCCCAAGGAGATAGAGCTTAGCAGTTACCATGGTCACTGTCTACGCTCATCGTCGCCATTCGAGAAGGGTTTATTGGATTGGGATACAGGCAGTTCGTTTTACTTTCATCCTTTCTTCTCTTCGCTTGCTTCGTCAACTCGGAGTCTTAAAAATGGGAGATCCAAAGGAGAGAAATGAGAACTGTCGAGCGAACCAAAAACTCGAAATGATGCATACCTTATTGTTTAAATTATTCTGGGTGAAAAATCCCCAAGGGAATGACAGGAATACAATAATTGAAACTATAACTACACATTCCGACTAGAACAAGTGCCACATGAGCAGGGCAAGAGTGGCATCACAAGACCTAACACTGTCGTTCTTCATGCACAACAAAAATAAATCCACGGTAACTCAAACTCTGTTGCCACGCGACTTTATAACAGCCACTCGAACAATCTAAAGCTCATTGTTTTGAGATGTTCAATCATCGGGTTTCATCCTCAAGAGCACGGAAACCACTTGTGAGGTCCTCGTGTAGCTTCTTAAACTTCGCCACAAGAGCTTCTTCCCCTTCTGCCGGATCCTCAAACTTTTGGGACCTGCATGTCACCGGTAAGAGGGTTAGGACCAACAAGATTGAAACGTTTCCTGTTGTAAAAGCGTTGTGATGTTACTTACACTAGCGGTAAAAGAGATCTCCCAAGCGGTGCTTGATTAAGCTGTAACTAATCTTTTGACCATCCATACCAGCTGCTCTCTCTACAGCCTGCATATTGAACGCCGCATAACATCAGATGACCATTTCTCATTCAATTAAAGCCATTTCAAGGTGAACTCAGTTGTTCTTTATATACGATATAAAGCTTAATTGTGGTGAAAAAAATTGTGTATGTGAAGACAACGAATGATAACAACTCTTCTTTTCCTTACACTATGAACACGAGAACAAAAAAAATTCAATCAACCTAGAGACGGATTCTTCAGACATCCAAAGATATTGCTAATGCAAACATCGTAGGTCATAATAATAAAGGAAAGAAATGGACAAACAGTTCACCTGATTGGCCAGATTAAAGTAATGGATGATATTCCGCATCATCCAGACGGACTTGTAGAATGGGCAGAACTTGTCATATCTGTCCACCCATGAAAAACATGTAAAAGATGAGTAACTGTACTGGGCCCAACCAAAATGAAAACAGAAGGAACATATGAATAATTAAAACATATATAGGTCAAAAGAGAGGACTATGGAGCTGGAACTCACGGAGTAAATGCATTCTGAGCAAGATAATCCTCCCTCAAGAGCTTTGCAGTCTCTAAGGTGATCTTATCTCCTTCAGCCAAAGCATCCTTTCCTACAAGCTGCAGTAACCCATGACATCAGTTTATGACAGACAATGTATGTATAAGCTAAAACTTGAATATCTATCACACCAGACATCAATCTGATACGATAGAAAATCTAAAGGTCCCTGTCTTGAATTTTACAGTACCTTATAGTTCAGCTCTATACAAATAACGTACAAAAATGAAACTGTTTCTGTTTTTGGGATTGGAAAACCCTCTAATCCATACTACAAGTAAAGAAAGACGTACTTGGACAATTTCATTGAGATCATCTTCTCGTTGCAAAACCTCACGTGCCTTTGTCCTGATGTTGATAAAATCAGGATCGAATTGATCATAGAAAGACTCTAATGCCTGCAAACAACATACAGAAACAAGTCTAACAATCAGCAAAAAGGAATGAACAATTAATCCCGCTCAGTCAATGGTACCAACAAAGGGGAGCCTTTATTAAATGATGAGGGGTAAAAGTCTATGAACATACCGTTGAGTACTTCGAGTAAGAAATAAGCCAGTTCACAGAGGGGAAATGCTTCCTCTGGGCAAGTTTTTTGTCCAGACCCCAGAAAACCTGGAAAAGAAAAGGTATACTTCCATTGATGAGAATCACAGAAGGTATCAAGAACAACCTCTTATTTGTAATTTCATACATAATAATGAGATTGCAAATATACCTGAACAATGCTAAGGGTTGCAGATGTCACAGGGTCTGAGAAATCTCCTCCTGGAGGAGAAACAGCACCAACAATTGTCACACTGCCATTACGCTCTGGCCCACCAAGACATTTTACTTTACCAGCCCGTTCGTAAAATGATGCTAAACGTGCTGCCAAATAAGCAGGGTATCCACTATCTGCAGGCATTTCAGCCTATATATAAAAGCAAGAGAAATGCCATTAAAGGGATGAATATTATATTTCATGTATAAAAAAGAAAAAAGAGAAAAACTTCCAAAGTAGTTTGTGAAAGAAGAATATGCCACATGACATATTTTGTGTGTGTAAGAAGGTGAGAGAACAAATCAATAAAAATGCATCTTGCACAAAAATAAATTATAAGAGATAGAATTACCAGCCGCCCAGAAATCTCACGCAATGCCTCAGCCCATCGAGATGTTGAATCTGCCATCATGCTGACATTGTAGCCCATATCTCTGAAGTATTCAGCAATAGTGATTCCTGAAAATTTCAGAGACAAAAGGCGAAGAATATGAAAACAACTCCTAAAATAATAGTTTGACTCAGTTCGCCACCCAAAAAGAGTAGCATCAGCAAGGAAGTTGACCTATCTAAGTAAATTTTCCCCGAAAAATTCAATAGAAGAGTTCAATTCTATTTGAGCCATGGCTATGTCTATGCTTTTCCAAGCATATGTAATGGACCATCAAAGGTGGTGAAGTAGAATGAAATCGTACAGATTTATAAAAACAACATATCATCCTCTTGCACCCAAAGTTTTTAATAGATCAGTGGAACCTTAGTGAGACATAGCTTAAAAGGTTTACCAGTATAGATTGAAGCTTCACGAGCGGCCACAGGCATGTTAGAAGTGTTGGCCACAAGGGTTGTGCGCTTCATGACAGATTCTTCACGACCATCAGGCAAAGTCATTGTCAATTGAGGGAAATCCATAAGCACCTGGATCATTGATTAGTTTGAATTGATCACATCCAAGAGGGTCAAAATGTGTAACAAATGATCCGATTATAGAATACATACCTCTGCCATTTCATTTCCACGTTCTCCACAACCAACATAAACCACAGTGTCTGAGTTTGAGTACTGCACTCAAGAAAAACATCTACTATGAGGTCCAGTGCACAAATAACTGTAGGAAATCTCTAATAAACAATGACATATTTTTACCTTTGAAAGAGCTTGACTAATAACCGTTTTTCCACAACCAAAAGCCCCAGGAATGGCACAAGTCCCACCAAGAACAGAGGGGAAAAGGGCATCAAGAACACGCTGAGAAAAAAAATCGTCAGGAACCACTAATCCCAAAAGATAGAAGAATCTATAAAGCAAAAATATAATCACCTGCCCAGTGAGTAGAGGGGTATCAGCAGCAAGCTTTGATGCAACAGGCCTAGGTGTACGTACAGGCCAAGTCTGCAATTATGTAAACCAATTTAAATACAGTTTACAATAATGACCATATCGGTAAGCACAAATACTCTGAAACCAAAAGCCAAAGAGCAAACTATACAGACCTGAAGCATTGTAAATTTCTTTTTTTGTCCTTGAAACTCAAGCTCTAACACAGTATCCTGCAAATGCATATAGGAAGAGTCAACTCTCAAAGTTCAAGAAAATCCATTCATGACTCAAGTAGTGCTTGCTTTATAAAGACAAACGTCTGTATCATGTATATACACGCAAATGTTTACATACTCCTAACATAGTAAAGAAACCATGTTCACAGAATTGTAGTAAATATTTAGTTAAAATGATGATCAGAGAAATGGATACCAAATATTAACAAAGTCATAATCAAACCTTCAATGAATATTGACCAGGTGGTGCGACGTAAGTAACTTTTCCCATAGCATCGGGAGGAAGTGCAACTCGGTGCTCCATCAGACTATTTTCGAAGACCGTCTGCAATGCAAAAGATACACATGCCCAAACTTAAATGCAACTCGAACGAAAATGATCATACTTGAGTAGTACAATATCTTTCAAAAAGTCTTCACAAACCAAGAGTTCGATGCTACGGAACTTACAGCATACAAGTCTCCACCAGTAAGATGATCACCTTCACCTGCCATCCGTGGTTTAAAATTTTCAAAATCAAACGAGCCATATTAAAATCAATTTTTTCTTTCTGCTAAACAGCTATACATAAATTTGATTTAAATTACCAATTTTTTTAGGTTGAAACTCCCAAAGTATATCTTTGTCAAGAGCAGGGACAGATACACCACGTGGGATATAGACATCACCAGAGATCTTTGCAATAGTTTTCAAGGGCCTCTGCCATGATAAAGAAAAAGACAATAAGAAAAGAAGCGAGTAAGCATAAAAAACTGCCCTAATCAATAATTTTTTCTCAAAATTCTTGAGGTTTTGTTTTGACTAAAGATAATACGAAGTATAAACAGAATAGATAAGTTCGTAACACAGTATAGAAAAAAGGATAGCTGCGAAGTAAT